AAGGTAACTGATTGCAGTTACATTAGGCTTTGCATAATAAACGTGTTATGGGAAACCTATAGCAGTCATACACGGCAGCAAATGGCCTTTCTATGTCAGACAGCAATACAAAATGCCCAAGATTCAATGGTATGAGAGAGTGGTGTAAATAAGTAGACAGTTGGATGGCGACTGTCGATTTCGAACGTTGAGATTTTCGAAATTAAAGACATAACTTCTATATTCTATTGCCTTATATGCACGTTTATCCCATTATTTAGTTTGTGAGATATTAGTAATGATTTTTATTCGTATAATTAATTATGATTATTGAAAATATATTTAGAATGAAATTAGGGTTAATTATATTTTTATATAAATATTATAGTATCCATATCTTATATAATATCTCGAGTGAATAACAAATTGATGTAAGTTTACTACATTTGTTTAAGCCTTTATTTAGAAACGAAGTGCTTGCTTATAAGAACAGATTTACTGAATAAACCAAGAACATTAGGTTTCAGAATGTAATGTCTTTCCTACTCATGTTTGTAGACAACAATTTTCTAAAATATTATATATCTCGTACATATTCACCTAAATTAGTTTTATTACATTTAAAAGCTTTTATTATTGTCTGTACTATCTCCAGGATTCAAATTTCGCTTTCTGCCAAAATGCGGGTAACTGGTCTTGTTGTATACGTAGCCCCATCTGTTGGCAGGAACTGGTACAATTTAGGCATGTTCGTAGGTATTAGAGCTTATTTATAAATTAAAATTTAACACATCGAGATTTACTTTAAAGCAAGTGTGAGAGGGTTTTTTTTTTTCCTTTATCCATTTTTTCCTTTATTCTCTAAGGGTTATAAAGGTAAGAAATAAATAAATTTTATTTTTGGAAAACAAAATATAAAACACACTTTCGTCGTTCAAATTAACGAAAGAAATTAGTTTTAATTTATCGAAACTTACAATCAGTTTCATATTCATCTAAAATAAAATAATATAATTAATTATTATTTACAAATACAGTTACAGAAGGCAATAAGAGTAAACGTTTTCTTACTTTTCTTTTAAAATCCAACCAAACAATTTCATTTCATTTGCATAAAAATATACATTATCTAATTCTATTCAACTAAAATTAAACTAATGCAATTTTGTTAACTGACATTATGAAGTTAACAGTCATAATAAGGAACATTTTATATGTCTTTAAAAGAATAAATAATTAAAAAAAAAAAAGACGTATAATTTATAGTTTAGAATGGAGAAATATGTTTGCTTTTTTTTAGACGCAGAATTTTAAGACTACTACTGCTACATACAAATTTAATTTTATCATATAGCTTTTAGTTTTTTTAATTCCATTCTTATTTTAGAAAAAACTTCATTCTTGAAATCACGTGAATTCAATATAAAATAGCAAAATCATTCTGTCGACTTTTTTGAGGAATTTCTGTAAAAATAACCGTGACTACTCACGCAAGCTTCTTAGCTCAATGGCGATGTTCTAAAAGTCTTGAAACAAACTGTATTTTCAGACATTCTTAGGCCCAAAACTAAGAATTTTTCCTTTCTACCAGGAATTTCAGAATAAAATAGCGAGTAGATTTGTGCTTTCTTTTATTTCATAACAGTAACCTTGAAGGTTACGTATAGAATATAAGCATGAAACGAAAGAATGGAATGGTTTTCATCAGTGCTAATAATGTCTTTCAGGTGATTTCCATCCATTTCTTGGGATAAACTCTTAACAGCTTCCAGAGATTTCTACAGATTCATCTGGAACAGCTTTGGATTTTTCGCTTATGACATGATAGCAGCACAACAAATTTATGCATCCATCCAGTTGCAAAATAATCAGCTTTCAAAATTAATTGTAATGCTATTTCTTTTCTCTTTTCCTATTCTTTAAAATATTAAAAGCACGGCATTAAGTGAAGCACTTTCATACATATCAATTAAATTTTTGCAAATGCGAAGTATACTGTATTTATGATTTCAATAAAGTGCATAAAAGTGCATAAAAGTAGAACTTCTAATATAAATGCTTAAATACATCAAAAATAATTTAATTTTAGTTGGCCTAGAAAGAAACACAGTTCTTCGAGTGAGAGGGGATCGAATCTGATGCACTTCAAACTCACTTTAAGTTTGTAATTTCAGAGATAAGTTGAAACAGTCTTTGAGGAAACTACAAATTAGTAATGATATCAATTACAAAAAAGAAAGCTGTGCAGTGAAACCTCGGTTCACGAAATTAATCCGTTTCTGAAAGCCATTTTCAACTGATATGTTCGTAAACCGAAACACATTTTTTTCCCATGGGAATTAATGCAAAATGGATTACTTCATTCCTAGATCATAAATAATTGCTTATTTAAATTTCATAACATTATTTTGCGCGCAAGTTCATAACTTAAATAAAAATCATTAAATCTAAAACAACAAAAATCATACATTATTAAATAACTAGAGTAAACGAAAACTTAATTTTAGCCTCTTTTACGAAGGAGAGTGGTTGGCAGAAATGGAAAATGAAGAGAAAAAGAAGAACTGGAAGTAGAGTCTCTTTCCATAAAAACATCAAGTAACTGCCTATGTAGGTAATTTTTCTTTTTTTTTGACAGTTAGCTCCACTGTATTCTGCCTGAAACTCACTGGACCTTCATTTCACTCAAAATTTGTCTCATGTGACAAGAGCTGTCAGTCTACGTTTTAAAATGTTTCTAAAAAGAAACATCGTACTGTCTTTGAAAGTGCTTATGCTATAGCTTGCTACTGCTTTTTCAAAGTACTATCGTTACGCGAAACTTTTGCCTCCCGTATTGCACAAATTTCACGGATCAATGAATTCGGTTTATTTTTCTTTCTTTCTTTTCTGAAAACATTTCTGCAATCGCATTTTGTTGCTGTTTCTGAAGGGGCAGTAGTTTATTCTTATTCTAAAAATTTTTATGGATTCCACTGACGTTTTCGCATTTTTACAGTTAATTCCCAATCCCATGGTTTTGCCTAGAGACATAATATCATAGATAACAAAAATGTCCTTGATGTCAAAGTGTTCCATGTCTCTCCCTGCAACCAAATCTGACCGTAATTTTCTCCAGGCCGAATTCATTGTCCTCTAAAACTCTTTGCTAATGAGAGTTCAGCAATGATAATGATGGTTTCAGAAGTCTTTGATTGTTAATTATGTGGTAGAGGTTATCTGAAACCACATTTGAAAATCATATATTTTCGACTTAAGTCTTTGTCATTCGAAATACGAGGAAATATGCGATACAACCATTATCCCTAACTGTATGGGCGTTTTATGGATTTTCCAAATGTGTGACGTGTATACCTTTTCCGTGCTTAGTCTTTCCCTTAGAAAACCTTCCACGAAGGTACCCCTCCCTTTAAGTAGATAAACCTCGAGTGGTTCCCCATAAGCAAATAAACCAAACGAACCTCATCCCAAGCTTTTCCATTCAGATAATTTGTTCTTGAAATGAGATGTTCGTGATTCGAGGTTCGTTGTATCGAAATTTTTGAACCTGTTTTAATTCTTATTACCAGTATGTCTGATGTGTTAACTCTAGATTTCTGCTAAGTGTGCAGAGCTATAACTGACAATACTAGAACTGCTAAATGAATCGTCCTCTAAAAATACGTTCGATCTTTTCTGTTTGCGATACAATGTGCCAAACAGTTTTGTATAGAAAAATATATATGCTTTCATTGCTTATTGGACTCCGTTATTTAAATACGTTGATCTTATCTCTTAAAACAGTGTTTTTATTTTCGAAGTAAGCACTGTCAATGAAATCTTTTTAAAGTAGACCCTTCTGATTTCTTTCTTTTCTATTGAAATATTTAAGAGATGTATTCTAATATTTAGAAAATTTTACTACAATTAAAATGACCTCATGGCAAGACTATGTTTTTTCTCTGGAAGTGTCCAGTTGGCGCATATATACTTCTCGAAAAACCTTTTGGCACCTATTCTACTGTAACAGAAACGATTCATTATACTTTCTGGCAAAGTAATCTTAAAGCTGCTTTTATACAGTCTCACCACTTGATCTGCCAAAGATGACGTTGAATTCCGAAAATTCTTCTTCTATATTGGGAAAGTGATGGATGGTTTTCTCTCCGAATTCCTAAGTTAAAAAAAATCGTTTCATTTCTCGTTCTTAAATATACATTGAAAATTATTAGGGGATTAAAAATGAGAGAGAATCGATTCGTTTGTCACCAGAGGCTTATGTGGTGGCCTCTTTAATAAAGAAGTATCTGTAATTCGGTGGGATTATTTGAACCTTTAACACAGGACACCTGATTATTTTGCTTTCTAGTAAAAGTATTTTTTCTTAGAAAAGAAATGAATTCTTGTAAAAGAAATGCTTGAAATGTTGGAAAATGTACTTGAAAGCTTGAAGAAATGCTTGAAAAGGAATTCTTGTAAACAAAATGGATACAGCATACACCATGGCTGTAAAAGAAATATTATGCAGAACTATTCTCTATTTTAACACAGTTTCAAATAAATTTTTATCTCCTTTTTTATATTCCAAAATTATTTATATTCAAGTTTTTTTTATAAAAGGAATAGACTTTATAGTCTGCCTTCCGCCTTCCCATATTTTTAAAGGTACATTATCATGGTATGCTTGCAACATTTACTAGCCCGACCGCCATGAAAATTTCTAGCTACTAACTGAAGAATAAACATATTGCTAAGCTTCGCGTTATCATTTCACTAGCGGCATAATAATATGTAAATAGCAAAACCATTACTGATACTTTAATTAGCCTAACGATAAATTTCTGCTAACATTGTAATCTGAAATAACAGCATGAAAATTTTTTGAAAAGTACTATAGAGAAGAAACTTTGTAATAAACAAAAAATGTGTTTTCACTTGCATTCAGAATTTGAATAAAAAAGCACGCAAAAAGGTTTGATTGCTGTGCGTATTAAAGCACATACATTTGTGAGCAATTACAACACTAGATAAATAATGCTTTTTTAAATATTACATTTATTATCATTATTATTATTTGGGATCGAAATAGCTTCATGTGCACATTCTTCAACTTCTTCATGCAACACTCAGATTACAGTTTCTTTTTTGTGTGTATATATGCTATATCAACATCCATTATAAAAGATATACATCTCATTAACAGTTCTGTATAAAAAACGTTGTTGACAGTTTTCAAATTACAGAATTAGATGTGCCTCTTGTTATCCTGTACAAACTTTCTCGCTTGCTTTGTCTTCTACTTGTTTTTAACGTATTCACTTTGTTCTTTGCGTTGTAAAATTTACTGTTAAGAAATTCCCAGTATTTAGTTATCTTCATTGCATATATGAAAGGATTCAATGCTGAGTTCAAATATGTCAGAAGCATAATCCACATTAAAACTCTACAATAAGAGGATTTAGTGATACCATGAACTAGCAGTGAAATCGCCAGAGGTAGTTTGCAGATCACTGCTGCCCAGTACAAGCATAATATTGTCGAGAAAGTTTTCTGCTTAAACCTCATATTGATTCGAAACTGTCTTATTGAGCATCGAGGCGCCAAGCGTTTACCAAATTCAGGTTGAACTTTATGATTAGTTTTGCGAACAATCACAATTATGTGTACATAAGCTAACAAAAGCAGTCCGCAAGGTAACACAAAAAGTAGGCTTGAAAACACTGCAGAATACATAAATTCATGTCTTCCACCATAAATCAAATTACAGTACTCATTGACAATTGAAAATTGTCCAATTCCAAATAAAGGTGGACTTGAAACTGCTAAACTGAATCCGAAGCACATAGGTATGATAGCAGTGGCATGGCATTTATGGAGATAGTCTTTTTTGTGAACGAGAATAAAATAACGATCGATACTTATAATTACCAAAACAATGACATTTTGCACCAAGAAGACGGACAACAAGAAAGCGTGTGTAATACACGCTATTCTTCCAAAAACCCACTTGCCGAGAATAATTGTGGCCAAATCTAATGGCACGCAGAAAACGCACACTAAGGCATCAGATACAGCCATGGTAGCTAACAGAACATTGATGAGAGAGCGCATTTCGGTGTGGCGGGTCACTAACACACTCAGTGTAAAGTTACCTGTTGTTCCGACCAGAAGAACTAGACTCAAAACGACAGAGAGTGTCGTACGTGTGCCGAAAGACAAGAAAAGATCGCAGTCGTCCGTGGCGTTTACTGACAGATTCATAAACATATTCAGATGGACTGTCTGCTTGCTTACCAATTCTGATTGATCGGCTGTCCATTAAGTACTGCTCATAAAACCTGGTCATTCTTTACACATTACACTTCCGAAAATGGTTCCTGCAATAGATGCAAAGAAAAAATCAAAATATAAATAATAATTGAGGAGGCTTGTTATTACATGCTTGCAAAAATTAGTTCGAAAAATATGTATTGGCAGCTACAGAGAGCTGACAGTTTTCTTTTTTATGGAGCTTCATAAATTTAAGAAAAGCATATGAAATAAAAGCATAGCTTTGTTTTTAATACTGACAAAAATAGAACCCTCTAACTATATCTACACCTTATATAAGCTATTTATTTAATCGAAAAGACTGTTGTGGAAACTTCATCATCTATTTACTGTAATAATGAAATAACTTGCCAGTATTTGTGAGAAATGATTTAAATGATTTAGGTGTCGCGAAATTATGTTAATGACAAATAGCATTCAGGAAGACAAGAACAGGATAAAAATGGTACATTGCAAGAAACTCTTCGCACGTTTTCGACTTTATGTATGTGGGATTAGAGCAAAACAAGTGACGACTATTTGTCTAAGTAGGCTTTCTATGGGATTTTCTAAAGGAATTTCTGTGGGAAATTGGCTGATATTTACGTTTAGGTTAAGTTATCAGGCCATGGCAAAGCACAAGATGGCTGTCTGCCCAAAGGAATGGATGCCTTCGTGGGAAACTTTCTAAGGGAAACTGACTCGTAGTTACTGGTGGGAACACGCATGCAGCCAGATTGTTTTGTCTGGATACGAATCAGGGCTCATATTTATATTACTCTGGCGCGAAAACCTCTATACGCAGCCAATTCATTTCTTGAGATTCGAATCCGGGACTGTCGTTAGCAATGTTATCCACTCACTCACTGGTGGGTTCTTTCATGATAAAAACCTGTCGAAAACCCAAGAAATGTATCTATATATATATATTTCTATATTCTAACATGTATCTATATATATATATATTACTTTTGCAAGCACCTAATAAAAAACAAGAATTCTAACATGTATTATTTGACCCAAAACCCGTAAAAGACCTAGGCAGGATAGATATTAAATGTTGTTTTCTAATAAACTTTACTTTATGATATATGCGTTTTTCGAGGCCCGGTGGAGCAATGGCTAGCGCATCGCGCAGCAGCACCACAGGTCCGGCGTTCGAACCCCAGGCTGGGCAAGGTCGACTCAACCTTTCATCCCTTGGGTCGATAAAATAAGTGAACGGGGTCTAAACACTGGGGGCTGCGACAAGCTGACCATTTGTTCAGGGCATATGCTTACGCACAACGGGGCCCACGATCAAGCAAGCAGATTCGGGGCACTGCTAGCCTTGGCCCACTAGGGCTGTTGCGCCACTGAGTTTAGTCTAGTATATATGTCTTTCACATTATTGCAGTTTGTTATTGAAGCGCGAGTGTGTAAAACATTTCTATATGGTTTACATTGTTTTACATTTCATTACTTTGAATTACTTTCCGCTATCACCGTAGGTCAAACTCGTGATACCAATTATGATACACATAGCCTTTATATGATACCGTATAACGATACAGAAAACGCGAAAAACAGTAGTTTGTCTGTATTCATAGTATCGATTACATTGTGAAACGCGTATTTGCAGTCAGAAACCTCATTCGTTTAAATTCATATTTAAATAGTTTTGTAAAATGTAACATGCCTAGAAAGTCGGAAAATATTAAAGAAAGTAAATCGTTACCTCTGAATATAGAATTATTCTTTCTAAACTGGCATAAAATTGTACTCAGTTCATTTGTATTTTCTATTTTATCTGAAAAATAGAGTTCAACAACAGTTTAATTGTGCAGGTGCTAACAAAGCAGAATTAAATCTTTTGTTAATTCAATCATCATTAGTAACTGCATGATAGTTAAAAATAACTTTAAAAAATTTAAATCGATAAAATTTGACAAATTAAGTTAGAAGTTGGAAAAAAAAACAGTCATTTGGACGACCATATTTTGCTCTATGATAAACGCAAAGGACAAACTCTGGGATGATAAGTTTTATCATTAAACAAGAAATTTTGAGAAAAATTCAACGCTAAATGAAAAGTATCTGTAAACAATTTTTTAAAAAAAATTTTCATTGTATTATCATCACAAAATACGTGTGTTTGAAAACTTTATTAGTTTTAAAATTCGCTCCAAATAAACCGGGAAACCGTTAAATAAAATCATGAAAATATCCGCAAAACATCTCGTTATGCGGAGGTTTAAGATCAAAGTTCTGCGATGATTAGTTTGACTGATTAATTAGTTATCCATATATACCGTAAAAATGTCTAAAATTTCATAACAGTTCGCATTCAGCTCAATGTAAAAGTTTCCAAGTATTCTAATTCACTAATTAATTGCAGAAAACAAATAAACAAATATAGTATAGATACAAGCCCAAATAAAATATTAATTGTAAGCTAAATATTTTATACTGCATTTCTTCAGTTGTTTATTTTAGTGTAAAGTATCTTAATTTAACCAGTTATTACGATTTGCATCTTTACTGTCACTTCTCCTTTCCATTTCCCCCACCACAATGTTCGAGAGTGAGTGAGTGAGCGCCACCAAGGAAGACCACTGACCTGGCCTTAGCCTCACAGTGTGTTATCTTCTTGGTAGAAACCATCTACTCTCTGCCCCATCCTGCTCCGGAAACGCAGCAACTTAAAAACCATTATATAAAATAGTTCATGCACATCAGCAAGTATGCGCGAACATCTCCACTAATTTAACAGTGAATATTAATATGGATGACGTGTCAGACAAAGAAAGTACCCAGCTGACTTCAGGCTCTGCCTAGACCTGAATTGCAAGTGTAATGCTACTCAATGCCCATCCCCATAAGTGGCTGCACAACCTAACTGCTTTAAATACGTGTATTTAAATGTAAATGTCGCATCGGATGTACTGAACAGTCAAAGGACAATATCTTAGAATATGTATGCAAAAGCATATGTACAATACAGTTTGCGCATACCGCAGTGACATAGCAAGATGCTCCTATGAACAGTAGAAATGTATACTCACATGCCCCGCCCATGTCAGACATCCTAATCTCATTTGCATAACTGCCAGAGCAATTATATTGCTCAATATGTATCAAAATCTAATGTCACGTTGGACATAATAAAAACACTGCTGAATCCGAAAGCTGCACAAACTGTAAATGTAATACCACGTAACGCAAGTGTAACGTCATTTCTGAATAGTAATGTAAAGTCATATGCAATGTTGTATTGAATTATGTAACATAATATAGAAAATACTTACAGTACCGCATTATATGCAAACACTGTCATAAATAAGTATCTATGTGCCTATACAAAAATCTCACAGGTACAGCAGGACCTCTGCCTTGAGCATCTATAATGTCTATATATCAGGTCTGCCTGTACGCCATCCTGAAGCTCAATCACATAAAAGCAAGAGCAAATATAGTGTTATAAATGTGTTCTATATGCAATGTTGCTCCTGATAATGTATTTACAGAGTTGAATCTGCATAATGTAATTCGTAAATGTAATGTCAATAATGGTAATGTAATACCACTATTATCTCATACCTGATATATAATGTCAATGCCGTATCGCATAGTGTCTATATAAGACATGCAATGTCATAATTATGTAAATATTATGTAAATATGCACAGCACTATTTATACGTGCACTGAAGTAATTTAGTTGCAACCGCCTTCTGCTCACATGTAGTGCATATGTACTAGCCCTGCATGAAAGCTCTCCAAAGTTCATTTGCGTAATTACAGGAATAATTATTATGTTCTATATGTACCTATATGCAATCTCTAGCCAACTTTAGATAAGGGTGGGCGTGGTGCTGTACTGATTAATCTTTACGGCAAAGGGACAGTGCCCACGTCCACCGTCACTTATCACTTATCTGGAAACGCAGCCGAATAGACGGCTAAGAGCCTCATAAAGTCTACATATAAGCTTGGATGTTGTTGGACGGGGGGGAAAAGGGGGGCAAACTGGAGTTCCCGCCAAAACTACAATCTCAGCCCATTGGCCTATGCAGTTTTAATTCTTTCTCCCACCTACGTCACACGGCGAGAAGGAAAGTTGGTAGGACACGGAGGGGATTTGCACCCTTTTCAAATTTTTTCACGATGCAAAGGACGGCACCTCCCAGGTCAGTTTTTTCGTTTCTTTTGTCTGTGTTTTTTTGGTCCTAATAAAACCCAACGACGTTTGTTTTCTTGCAAATTTAATTGCATATTAATTTGATTACAGCACCATTTTCTTTATAAAAGTTATATCTTCTTTAAGCTGTGCAGGACCATCCCGTACGTTGTTGTAATTTTTTGACTAATAGCAGACCGCTATTTATTTTAATTTTAATTTTGATTTTAATTTTACATTGCTCGGAGTTGCAATTTCATTCTTAACACCCTAATGTGTTTTTCAGCGGACGCGTCGGGAAAAAGGAACAGAGCAGTGAAGCTCCAAAAAAGATTTATTCGGGACTATTCATGTTTTTATAAAAAATTTTCGCATCAAGCAAGAGCTTCAATGGTCTGTTTCGGCGAAACGCGTAATGGTATTTAGCCTAGTTCGACACTCAGTCATTTTTCCCTTGAAAAGGCAGAGGGTACGAGTGGGTTAATTTACCATTTTTTCCGTTGTTTTTTAATTTTTTTATTTTTTTTTTGTTTTTATTTATGTTTTGCATTTTATTTTTTTTGTTTTTATGTTTTTATTATTTTTTCCGTAAGTTTTTTACCTCTTTTTTTTTTTATGTGTTAACTTTTCATATTCATTTTTTTCCGTCAATTTTTTTTTGTATTTTTGCTTTATGTTTTCATATAATTTTTGTGTTTTGATATATTTTTTCCGTCAGTCTATTTTTTATGTGTATTAAACTTTTCATTATTTTTTCCGTCAATCTAATTTTTATGTGTATTAACTTTTCACATATCACAACGGTCAGATATATTTTTTCGTGCATTCGCATGTCTTCCAACATTAATTTTAACGGGTTTTTTCGCGTGTTTACAGTTTTTATCCAGTTTTTCCAGATAAATTTTTTAAA